CGGTAACTGCACTTTCCTTATTCTCTTCATGATTTGGTTGGGGGTTCTGTGCAATGTGGAGTGATTCTGAATTATTAAAATGAATCCAACCCCTGTTGCGCATTCTTTGGATAACCCTCTTAAAGGGGAGGCAATTTTCGATAGCATGCCCCGGAACACTGCCATGATATTCACAATGCACTTTTTTGTCATACCACCTGGGGTATGGGGGCTTTAGAGGTGTCTCGGGATAGGGTGACACCACATGTGCGTCAAACAGTTGTTGGTAGAGCTCCTTGTACGTCATGGGAATGGATCAAAATGCTCTTTTTTCTTCCTTGGTTTTTGCCTACAAAAGGGTACGACTGGAAACGACTTTGAAATGTTGATGATCTCTCTTTCTTTCTTCTTCAGGGGAGGCTTTCCACCCGTTCTACCTCCTGGGTTAATGGTAATTTCTACCCTCGTTGTTTTGACCTCTTCTTCAACTTTCGGAATGCGATAACCATCCGAATTATCTTGAAGTCCTGGTAAGATTCTGGGTGAGACAACCACTTGCGGGGTAGGTGGCATGGTTACCCCTTCCGATGAGCCTGCCCCAGGCACACTTGTCTGACGTAAGCCAACTAACTTGGCAACGATCTGATCGATCAAGGACTCTTGGCCTTTCGTGATTGCATCTAGGGTACTCTGGCTATTCTGATTTATCTTTTCTTCTAACTCTCTCTGGAGCTTCAACATGTTCTCTTCGATCTGAGTAATTCTGGCTTCCATCTTCTTTTCGGTTTGAATGAGGATGACACGTGTTCGAAGCTTGTGGATGTATGTCCAGTGTTTGTACCCTTCCGTTATGAAAATATCTTATTAGTTCATGTGAATGCAGTGAAAAAAAGGAAAACTATGCGAAATATGCAAGAATGCATGATTCATGAAATGATCGAGGCATTAATCCAAAAATGTATCTGTTATTAAAAATAATCCTTATTGGGGACAAAAGTGTTTTATCTTTTAAGAGACAAAAAAAAATTGACAGCTTCTGATATATCGACTAGTCTTTCGTCTGTCACCGATTGAATAACCTGTCGAACCGCTCTAGCTTCTTTGGGTGAACCGTACAAATGTCGAGTTGCTTTTTTTGTACTGGCCTAAGAAGTCTCGAATGACTGCATCTCTGGAATTTGAAATGTTCCCAACGAATACGTTATTGGAGCCCCCAATTGATAGGAACTACGTGAAGTCATTTGTTTGAATTTGTCAGCAATGGTCTCCAATTCCAGCTATCGTTTTGCCATTGTCGTCTTTGAAGTGAATCCTAAGATCAGCGGTCTTCATCTTGCCCCTACAACTTCTGCCAGTCAGTTCTTCAAAGATGGAATTTCATTGTGCTTAATGTAGACCCGGTTCATTGAGTCCTTTATAATGCAGTATGATGATATACTCTTCAATTGCGGGCACCACATCATCTGGATTGAAGGTGACACATAGTCGCCTTGTAGACTGTCCTCTGTATTTTCATCTCTTGTATTACAACCCTTTTGTTCATTAATGCTGATTATTCATGTTTAACAAACACATTTTTGGTGGATCAACACCTCGTTTTAAATGATGCGAATGATGAAAACAGAATAAAAGAAAACAAAAAATTAAAAGAGTTAGTGAGATAAATCAAAACAATAATAAAAATGAAAAAATCCTACCCCACATGATATCTACCCCACATGCTTTAATTCCTACCCGGACATGATCTCTACCCTGCATGCTAATTTCAAACAAATCCTAACCGCATGTTTGTCTAGTTCGCATGCTTTTGAGCAGAAAATAAAGTAGGAAATAAAATAGCCTAGGGTTTGGAATGAGGTTTTGGGGTGGGCTCTAATTCCCTGCACTTTCCCGGTTTAGGTTCTAAAAATGGTACTCGAGTTCTCCTTGCTGGTGCCCCCTTGGGCTTGCCAGACCCTTAGTCCTAAACCCATCACAGGTTTGTGTGGACTAAGTTAAACTCGAGAGGAAACATTCCCTTATGCCCATACGGAGAATAAATTCACACGAAGACATAAGGTATATGAATCCCGAAGGTTACTTGCTAGGCCCATACGGAGAATAAATTCCCACGAAGGCGTCGCTTTCGCCCCCACTTAAAAGGGTTCGGAGCTCGGGTATAGAGCCAGAGATGACAATTTTGAAAAATATTTGAAATCATTAAAAAAACGTTAGTACAACTATTTATTTGAAAAAAAAATCAACGATAAATAATAAGAATCGAATAAATAAATTAAAATTTAAACTTGTAATTTTCGCTAAAAAAGACAACCAGAAATTAATTTCGGCCTGACTCACTTACCTGTCCCCAGCGGAGTCGCCAAGCTGTCGTAACCGTCTTTCGGTGGGCCTCAAAATTGGGCTTCGACTTAGATTAAATGTGGTTAGAGTCGCCACCGACCATTTTAAAAAACATTTAGGTGGGTCGGACACCATCTTACCTGATCTGTATTTTACCAGAAACGTGTCGGGTTCGGGAGTCGGTTACGATCAAGGAAGGATTAGCACCCTTGAATCGTCCTTTCGGTACCAATTAATTTATCGATTGTCTTTAATTGCGAAAATTGGAATTTAAATTAAAATTTAAATTATTCGATCCGAATTACTTACCCTTTGATCGGTTAAAATTACGACTGAAACAAAATATGTTAGAAAGAAAAAAACAAAATAAACACGAAAACAAAATGTTAATATGATAATAAAAGATAGATAAAAAAGATAATAGAGATGAAAGAAAAATATTAAAAAAATACAAAAAAATAATAATAAATAAATAAAGAAACGAAATAAAATAAAAAATAATAAACAAAAGGTTAAGTTTAAAAAAAAATATTTAAAAGTAAAATAAATAAAAAACTTAGGACCAAATTGGAACAAATTGGGCTTAATGGATTAGAAAATGAACTGCAAAAGAACAAATAAAAAGTTAGGGGACCAATTCACAAAATATAAAAATATAAGCAGGGACCAAATTGATTAAATTAGAAATATGGAGGCAAATTTACAGATGGTGACCAAATTGAATTACGATTCAAACGTTCAAGGATGGCGGAAAGGATTTAAAAATCCTTTATTTGCACTATGGTCCCTCGTATATAAATGCCCAAATGAGCCCCATTACACTTCATTTCTCTCATTTTCTCAGAAGCCTCATCTCTCTCAAACGGGAGACATTCTCCACCCAGGCGATTTCCGGCCACCGTCAGACGCCGCCGCCGGCGGTGGCCGAAAAATCTAAACAAGCCCAGAACACTCTCCTTGATATCCCGAGCGTCGATCCAAAGTCCAAATCCCACAAATATCCCCAAAATGGCGCAGATCTAAAGTGTAAGTTTCGGTTTTTTTACCCTTTAAAACATGTGTCTCTTGAGTTCCGGCCACTCCTCGGTTATGGCTAGGCTCTTGCGTACTCTCGATGAACAAAACCGAGTAACCCTCGATTTTCTGTGATTTTTCTAGTGATTGCTGCTTTGGCTTTTGGTTTTTGTTGTTTTTTGTGTTTATGGTTTTGGGTATTGTTCTGTGTAGACCGGCTTTGTGGTCGATGGTTCTCGGTATCTCTCGATGATGCTTGTGTTTCTCCAGTAGTGTACTGTGTGGTGTTCGGTGCTGTGGTTCCGTGTGGGTTCTCCCTCAGTTCTGTCTTCTCTCCTCATGTCCCCCTGTCCTGTTCTGTCTGGGGGTATTTATACTCTCTCGGCCGGTGAGCGTTACCGAACTTCACAGGATGGGTCAGTCCCGTGTGGTGGCGCGATTTTCGGCCTGTGGGAGACTGAGCTGTTGTGACTCGATTCTTGCGATATTTGCGTTCTGTTATGGAACGTGTTTGTTGCATGTTTGACCGGTTTCATTTCCGGTGACGGCTGATGCTTCTGGCCGTTGAAATTGCTTCTGGCCGTTGGATTGGGTCAGATCCAACGGTCCAGATCTGGCTGCTCATTTGATGAAATATTTAGTGATTCAGAACCCTAGTTATCATGTGATTTGAGCCGTTGATCACTGCTTGATCTAACGACTGTAAGTTATGCGGCGCTGGGACTAAGTTTAGAAACCCTAGCTTGGCAACTGGGTTGGGTCAGGCCCACCTGATCTGCTTGGACCTTGTTCTGGACCCTGAATAGAAAAACAAGAACAAAATAATTAAATAAGAAATATAATAATAAATAAAATAATTACAATAATAATAAATAATAAATAATATAATAATATAATATATATATATATAAATTTTTAAAAAATATAATATATAATTTCCAATTTTTTTTTTAAATTATATAATATATATTTTAAAAATGTTTAAAAAAAATTTTATATATTTAAAATATTTTTAAAAAAATAATATTAAATGTTTCAAAATGTTTTCAAAACTATATATCATATAAATTTTCAAAATGTTTTTCAAAAATATATTATATATTTTCAAAATATATATTATATACATATATTTCAAAAAAATGTTTTCAAAGACTATATTATATATATTTTTAAAATGTTTTCGAAAAATATATATCATATAATATATACTTTTCAAAAAGCTATTCTCAAAATTATATATATTATATGTATTTTAAAACATTTGTAAACTATATAATATATAGATATGTATATATAAATAAAAATCATACGAAAATAGGTGTTACAATAAGAGATCAAAATCAATTAATTTTTAAATTTATAACTAAAATCAAATAAACAGAAAACATAAAGTACCATCTGTGTAGTTAACCCCAAAACTAATCGATAAATCAATACCCATCTGGGTTTTGGCAATTCACCCAAAATCCTAATTCTGCAAGTCAGCCGAAATGAAAATTGAAATCTCGTTTCCTCTTCCAAATTCAGCCGTGCTAGGGTTTTAGTGCTCAAAGTCAAAATTCGTAAAATGCGAAATTTTGCTGTCTGAATTACCCGTAAATCAAAATTTGTATATCGCCTTCCTCATTTTCATTCTCCATAATGACAGGTACTTCAAGCTCTAGTGTACGTTTCTTTCAAATCTCTAGAAAGACGTTTGACTTCATTGCGCGACAAAGTGGACGAAAATCTTCCGGGAAATCGTATTCCACTCTTCCAGAGGGACTATCACTTCGTGAATTTTCACTAGCGGAGATCAAAGCTGCTACTGGAAACTTCCATAAAGGTTTTCTTATTGTACAAGTAATTTTGGATCTGTATATAAAGGGATCATAAATGACGGGACCACTACTGTTGCTATCAGACGCATGAATCTTGGTCTTACTTTATTCCGAACTGAGGTGATCTTTCTTTGCCAGATGAGTCACTTAAATGTTGAATCTCTAATTGGATTCTGCGATGAAAAGGGGGAAAATCCTTGTTTATGAATACTTGTGCAATAGGTCGCTCTACGATTGTCTTAATGGTAATGGTATCAATGCCAATCCACTTCCTTGGGAGAAGAGGCTAGAAATTTGCATTGGCGCAGCTCGTGGATTACATTATCTTCATACCGGAGCCAAGTATGCAGTAATGCACCGTTTTGTGACCGGTCATACTGTTCTTTTAGATCATGAATTGATTCCTAAGCTTTCTGGTTTCTTTGTGTCCAAGTTAGGATCTCGTAGCATGTCAAAAACTTTGATTGGGGGTGCTTATGGATACCTCGATCCGGAATATCATCGCACCAAGTACCTGTCGGAAAAAGTAGATGTCTATTCATTCGGCATTGTCTTACTCGAAGTAATTTGTGATCAAGCAAAATTCTATCAGATGACTAGTGAGGTAGGATCTATGGGTGGATGGGCAACTTCGTGCTTCAGGAATGGAACCCTTTATCAAAACATTGATCCATTCTTAGAGGGGAGATAGCCCCGGAGTGCTTCGAAAAATTTATGGAGATTGCTGTGTGTTGTATCTCTGATACTGGAGATGAAAGACCATCCATGGGTGAAGTGGAGGTAACTCTAGAGCTTGCATTGGAACTGCAAAAGAAATCAGACTCCAAAATGGCAAGTATATAATTCCTCATGGAGAGTTCATGTATAAAGATGTAATATTTTGGCACTGATAGAACAACAATTGAGGATTCAATAGCCATTGAAGAATGAAGGTATACGACATATATGTATTTTTTTGTTGATGTCTGCTGTAATTATGCAATGTTCTGTTTGCTTAGTCGAAAGTTTCTTCTATTGCTATTGAAGATCTTACTCATATGCTGGTATGCCATCTCTGAATTTGTTAACAGAATTTGCAATGTATATACAAACTTTTTTCTCAAATTTCAGGACTTTTGTGCCCTCATTAAGGAAAGCAATGTGCGAATGTGTTCATGGATATGCTCGAGTCAGTTGATCTATGAAAAAAATGTTCTATTGTTTTCTTTTACCTGCTGCCGATCCCAATCACCAGACTGCCATTGATCCTACCCACGAGCCTCAAGAAACTTTTGTTTCTCTTTCGACATCACCAAACAACTTTGCTCCAACTCGCCCATTTTTATTCTCCTTGCCTGCTTTCCTTTCCTTGGTTCTTTTGGGGTCGTTGTGCAACTGGCAGCAAATTAAATCACAAATTTTTATATTTTTCTTAAAAAGAACACTCCAAAATTTTTAAGTTTAGAATTCTACTCCCAAGTTCGTCTATCTTTTTCCAGTTTAGTCCCATATTTCAAATTAAGCAAATTAATAATTCAATTTAAGTCAAATAAAAGTTTAAACCCCAATTTTGAGGCATGACGATTTAAATCATTCAATACATAAAGCTATTTTTAATGAAACAAAAGGACATCTGCGATGTACTTTTACTTTTTTCACTTTTTTTTTTATCGTGATTGTTAGTTCTACACATTGCTTAGTGTTTTTTTTAATATTATCTACTAATCGGTGACAATATCACCCTCATGTCCAGTAAAAATGTAGGTTATAGGAACAGAAAGAACAAAAAAACCACATGTTACAGTAGGAGAGGAAGAGAGACGAGGGAACGCTGAAGATTTGGGGATTGAGGAGCGAGGGTTAGGGATTGAAGAGGAGGAATTGAGAATTGAAGCACGTGAAGGGCAGGTGACTAACTTACCGGATGAGTTGGAGCAGGCTAAGCGGATCCAGGAAGAGTTGGAGCAGCCCGAATCCGAAGGCCCAATACCTACAGAAGAGAAGAAAGGATAAGCAGAGTCTGTTAGAATCTGTTAAGAATGACATCCATCTGGCATTTAGATTTTCCGTACAACAATTGTAACTAACTAATACCTGACTTGAGGCATTTCTTTCTCATGCTATGAATAAATGAATTTCTTTTTTCTCCGAATTCTCTCCTTCTTCCTATTACCTTTTTCTCGAATTCTTCTATTTCTCGAGCTATAACAAATTGGTATCGAGAGCCTCCATTCCTGACAAGTTTTCAGTGGGTATGCCAAAGAAGAATCAGAATATGGCTGAAGCTGACCTCTCTGTGCTGCAAAAACAGATTGAAGAATTAGCTATGTTGGTGAAACAAGCCTAAGAAGAAACTAATCCACCTAAATGGTGGGAAAGTCAAGAAAACCATATTAATTCACTGAAATCCAGGATGTCCACCAATTAAAGCTATGTCGAGGAGCTTTTAAAGATTTTAACAGGCAGAAATGGTGATCAAGAGATTTTTGCTAGTGAACAAGTACTCCTAATACTTCTAAAAAAGAATGGAAGAAACCTGTTTTGGTTACTGTGGTTAATGATGAGTCCAAATTTACTTATAAAACTGTTAACCTGAGATTTTGAAAGCTAAACCTGATGATTGTCTAGCCCTTAAGAATAGTTCTAAACCCGAGAATCAAATGGGTGAAAACAGTGAATCTAGACATATTTTGTTGGGTTCTGAAGTAGAAAAAAATGCCCAGGGGTTCCTTTAACAGTTCAGGGTCTATGGCATCGACCTAAGATTGAACTGCCATTCTAATACCCCAACCCGTATCTGACCCGAATACGAGTCTGAGATGTCACATCAACCTTTCAAACCATTTCTTATAAAAAAATAAAGGAAAATTTATATATAATTTAAAGATACGAAACAATTTACATATATTACTAAAACAATTTACAAAACGATTCAGAGCTTCTACCATTTAATTCTTTAATACATGCCAACACTATAATACAACAAGAAAACCTACTGTTAATTCTTCTGATCTGATCTTTGCAGAAGTTAAGCTGTCTACTCTGCTTATCTTCTCTGCGGAACTTCTCGGATCCTACGTGTGAAACACTCACACGCTAAGTCATAGACTTAGTGAGACATGCAAATAAATAATGGAAACTATAACTACTTAACAAATGCATGTACGTTTCATGCAACAACAAAAAACTTATATGCACACATATCATTATTATCATTCATTCCTTTTATCATATGATCTTGTACTTATCATTCTATATATATATATATATATATATATATATATATATCATAAAACACATATATTATTTTGACAAAGAAACACATATAGCATCATACTAGGCTTATTTACTTATTCTTTATTTATAGCCCATGTATACATTTGAGAACTTAAGGTATGTGAGTACATAGAGGTTGTGCACTAATGATGTCACCACAGCTCGTATAATTCCCACTAGGGCACAGGTATGTGAGTACATAGAGGTTGTGCACTAATGCTGTCACCACAGCTTGTATAATTCCCACTAAGGGAACATAGGATTTGTCCCGGAGGACCGCATAGAAATGTCCCGAAGACCATATAGATGTAACGAAGGACCACATATAACACATATGTCCCAATGGACCACTCCTTAAGGACCACATACATATTAATAGACCAAATAGGTGTACCAAAGTACCGTATACATGTTCCAAAGGATTACATATATGTCCCGAAGGATCACGTAGAACCCTCGACTCTTGGCATGCCAACTATACCCCTAGCTCTCATAATAAATAAAATAGGCATTATATTTTATGTTTGTCACACATACACATTTATATCACATAGTCATATAATTTCATACTTTCGTATCACATATATCATGTAACATTCTCGTAGAATCTCATATCACATATATGTCATGTCACATTTTCTTGTATTCATATAGACATGTAATCACATATATCCCTTTCACATATCTTTTATCATATATCTTATCTCTTATGATCATATAATTTATTATCACCCTTGGATCATATTTACATATTTATCATACATGCATGCATTCACATAGATCACATATGGATATGCACTTAACATCTAGACATATGCATATACTCAAGTATACATAAGTATCATACCACTACATGCTTGTATTCGGTACTCATGTAATCTAATATTGGAATTAGACTCATCGCAAGTCTTGATTCCCTAATATAACTTATACTTAATATCATGTACTCACTTGGTCTCACTAGACAATATCAATCTAAGATCGCTCTCTCGGAAATTCCTACTTTGGCGACTTGTCGGAACTTTGTTTTCGATCGATATCTACATAAATATACATTGGATACTCACATCAGCATTCTAAATATCATAATTCGATCCTTAATAATTCAACTAAAAGAAAGGCTTAATTCTATTTTCCACTTGAAGTATTATCGGTACCCAAGGTATGGTATCGATACTTCCCTAGCTGTGGTATCGATACCAAGCCTGGGTATCAATACCCATTTTGTATTCTGTAATCCTCGTTTCAAAAATGGTACCGATACTGACTTAATGGTATCGGTACCATTGGTATAGATACTATCTTCCAAGTATCGATACCCCATGAATGTCTTTGTCAAATTCAAGTTTATGGTATCGATACTGTCCAAGTATCGATACCTTGATAATTGTAACATACCAAAATCCAGGTTAGTGACTAAAATGAGAATTTTTTGAATTTGGGGATCAGTTTAGGAAAATTTAAAAGTTCAATGACTTAAATAGGAATATTTTCAGTTTTGGATTAAATTGTAATTATGGAAAGATTGAAAGGGTATTATGGTCTTTTCTTTTAAAGGATATTTTTCTCCCTTACTAAGAGTTAAACATGTGGGTATGAGAGAGTTATCTAGAAGCTCTCTTCTTCTTCTTGCTTTCTTCTTCACGTTGGCTCCAGCTTTAAAAGGTGAGTTTAATTTTGTTGTTTAATTCTTGGATTTCTAGGTGAGTTTTGATTATTTGGGTGTTATATAAGCTTAATGAAAGCTTATATAGGATTTAAACAATAAGATGAGTGAATTAGGAAGGGATTTGTAAAATGGGTTTTAAGATGAATTTTTGATATGGTTTGGTTTTCAGAGTTTTGATGAGATTTTTGACTTGTCAATATTTTAAATTAAGAGTTGGGAGGGTTAGAATTGGTTAATAATATGTTTGAAATTTTGGTATGATTTTCATATCCAAGTGTTCAAACGGGAATTTGGATAATTAAGAGTAGTAAATGGGTACAAGTTGGTTTGGAAGTGTAAAGATGAGTTCAAAAGCTTAAGGTATATGTAGATGAGAGAGTTGGGAGAATTTTTGGGGTGAAAATAGCAATTCTGGACTTCGAGTATCGATACCCTTATGAACAGTACCGATACCTCTTGGGTTTAATAGGAGTATTTTGAAAGGGTAGTATCGATACCTGTTGAAGAGGTATCGATACTGTAAGGGGTAGTATCAATACCTGAAGAATGATATCGATACCTTGAAACATCGAATGTCAGATTGGTATCGGTACCTTGAAGAGGTATCGATATCCTTGAACATCGAATGATATTTTGGTATCGGTACCATGTGAAGGTATCGATACCCTTGAAGGGTAGTATCGGTACTGTTAGTGTAGTACCGATACTTCAAAACATGAAAATGGAAATTAGTATTTTATTTAGTTTGTTTTGATATAAATTTTGTCAAGTAATTCAATCTCGATATTAATTGAACTATATTCGTATAGATATTAATCGAAAGCAAAGTTCGGATAGGTCGTCAGAGTAAGATTCGCGTAAGGGAACAAGAGCTTAGTAATGTCATTTTAGACCCATGTGAGTACATGATTTTAAGATTTGGTTACGTAAGGGAATTAAGATTTGTGATGAGTCTAATTCCGATTTTAGGCTATATGGATACTGGAACATAAACATGTAGTGTTATGATGTTAGATGTATAGGAATAAAAGCATATGTTTAGATGTTAAGTGCATATATATATACGTGTGGTCTATGTGAATGTATGTATGTGTGATAAAT